CAACCACGCCACACCACAGGGAGGGGGAGGAGGAACCATTGGGGGGGGGAGGTGGGGGGGGCCGGCCGAACCGGGATCATATATACATGTCGTGTACATATGCATACTAAAACGAATACATGCATACACACATTGGTGGCGGATGCCCTGACGGACATGTTTGCATCTCAGAGAACGACATCGTCCCAGTCTCGAAGCCATTCGGTCAGCTTCCTGCCGGGACAGACGGTTGCAAGGCACGGTGCAGGCTTGCCAAAAGCTGGGCCTGACTATGCTGGCGTTGCCCACAAGCTGGTCAAGCGACTTGGGCGCAAAATGGTCGACCCAATTTTGGCCGACGGGGCCTGGACGTCCCATCCAGGAACTAGCAAGTCGAAGGCTGCTTGAGTCGTCGAACATGTCCGAATCCCTCGGTGTCTTTCTGGAGCCCGTCAGGGCCTGTTTTAGGCACCTGCACAGTCGCTTCCTCGAACCTTAGAACACTCTTCTGCTTCTGGCGTCTGGCTGCATCTAGAATTCACTGTGAGCTCCTTGCGTCGGCAGTGCTGCTCTGGCAGCGCATGCGCCAGGCAACAAGGCCAGGAATTGAGCCTGATGCACAGTGCGAGATGGGGGTTTCCGAAAATGGGGGACCCTAATATGGTACCCCAAATGGTAGGACCCTTATCATAAGGACCCCAAGATTAGGTACCCCTGAATTCGGAAACTCCTAGATGGGGTCAGCAACAGCAGAACGCAGCTGGGACAGCCTCCGTGAGCAGTTCCGGGTGTTTCTTACCCTTCTCTTTCAGCTCCATCATCTTCCGGTACCTCTGCACAGGGCTTCGGCTCGAATTCAGAGGCCTTCTAGGGCTTTTGTTATAAAAACCCTCTTTGCAAAACCCTTTTTTCGGGGTTTTTGTATAAAAGCCCTCTTTGAACCGTTGCTTCGGCTCGAAGTCGGAGGCCCCGCCATGGCCCCTTCAGGGGCACTTCGACGTCTCTTCGACAGGTCGGCCATCATCCAGTCTGGAACCGGCCTGAGTCTCCCGAAACCCCTGAACCCAATGTTTTGTTGACAGATTGTAGCACCCATAAACTATCCATAGATATATCTGTATATACATCTATATATATATATAAATGATATACATGTATATAATATATATATATATAATATATATATGTCTGTAGATTCTGCTACAGTCAAAGACCTTTGCTTGGGCACCTTGGAAGATCCGTCTTTAGGATCCCACCACCAAGTACTGCACGTTGCCGGAGACGCCTGACATCACCTGGCTGAGGTGCCAAGAAAGGTGCCCAGGAAATTTCTCATCGGGTTTTAGCGTTTGCCCTACACCCTGACTGAACTCCTGCTTTCAGCGCCTTGGCACCGGCTGCCTTGGCTTTCTCCTCGGCGTCTTGGCGTGTGATTGCATCCATCTCGCCCGTGAAGACCATCGTGACGCCTAGCGCTTCCAAGCATAGCCAAGTGCATGAGCATTGTGGAGTTTGATCGTATGAGCACATGCACTGGAATTTGATAGTATGTCACGGCCTTTCCACGTAGTATCTAGCGGAAAGAGAATGACGCTTTATCATACTAACTACACTGCCACGGCGCATCATGTTACATGATAGCATGAAGTGCCGTATCGCAACATACCACGGCGAGCTAAACCCCTAGCGATGAGCCTTCCAGGGGCAATCCAGGCTTGGCGTCGTTGACCTGGCCAAACCAATACTCAGACAACATCACACAAGTTAGGGCTTTGGGATCTCATTGCTTTAGGGGTTTACGGCTGTAGGGCTTCTAGGGCACAGGGCGTTTTGGGCTTGCGGTCCTGCCCTGAACGACACAGCTTTGGCAGGGAGGAGCCATAAATACGCCGTGGACTCTCTATGTATATCCAGAAGTATACAATACTACGACACTCTACAGTACAGTAGCGCCTGCTTTTCCTTTAAAGCATCGAACCCCGTGCTTTGACGAGCGCAGAGAGGGGCGCACCACTGGCGCATCCGAGCCTAAGGTTGGCTCAGATTGTCCCTGCGAGGAGCTACTAGAGCCACTGGAGTGTCGGTTTAGAGTTTAGGGTTTAGGGTTTAGGGTTTAGGGTTTAGGGTTTAGGGTTCAGGGTTCAGGGTTTAGGGTTTAGGGTTTAGGGTGTAGTTACTGAAGCATGAACAAAGACCCTGGGTGATACCGTTGCAAGATCCACTACGATTTGAGTACTTCCTGGCGAAGAAAGACTCCCTCCGGCTTCTATAGAGTCTACCTAAAGATAAGCCCTAAACCCTAATCTAGACCCTAAACCCTAAACCCTGAATCCTAAACCCTGAATCCTAAATCCTGAATCCTAAACCCTGAACCTAGAGCAGGGTACGCTCAGGTCAGCTGACGGGCAAACAGCCCTCAGTACGCCGCTGCCAGGGCCGAAGATGCCCGGGCTCTGCCATTCAACTGGCACCAGGGGAGCTGGGGTCCCAGGGTTTTTACGGTGCAGGGGTGCAGGGGTGTAGGGGTTTAGGGGATTAGGGTTTAGGAGTTTAGGGGTTTAGGGGTTTAGGGGTTGGGCTTTAAGGGTTCAGGGGTTTGGGGTTTAGGGCTCAGCAGCTCCGGATCCAGCAGTACTGTAGCAAAGTGGTCTTCACGGTTTTGATATCACACCCACCCACCCAAAAAACTCCATAACATTAAGAAATACAAAGTTTTTCCACAACATACGGTTCCAAGTTTCAAATCTTTATTCCAGACGAAAACCTTGTTGCTTCATTGTTACACAACAAAAAAATGTTCGCTCATTGCCCGAACGTACACGACAAGTATAGCATAATTGAAACCCAAAAAACCAACTCTAAGACTAGTCCAAACTCAAGCCTACGTGGCGATGTCGGGTCCGGCAGAATCCGAAAACTGCCTTAAACCGCACATGTGTGCAAGGTCGGGTCCGGCAGAACCGGAAAATTGCCTTAAACCGCAATATGTTTGCATGGCCGGGTTCGGCAGAACCCGAAGAAAATTGCCTTAAACCGCAAATGTGTGCAAGGTCGGTGCAAATCCAAAAATTGCCCAAAACCGCAAATGCACTAAGGTTTACATATACATAGGTAAGAGAGGTTTAACGGTTTAGGATTTAGGGGTTTAGGGTGGAGAGTTTAGGATTGAGGGTTTCGGGAACAAAGGTTTAGGGCAAAGTCTTAGCATTGAGGGAAAAGGATTCAGGCTTTCAGAAGGAAGGAGTTGAGGGGTAATTTCTTTGGGTCAACTTGCCGAAGGGTTTGAGAGCGTTGCAGGATGCTGTAGTCCCATTCGCTGCACATCGGCCTCATCCCGTTGCTGAGCCGCCTTGCTGCAAGCTCGGAGCACCACCTCAAAAGCGCGAGAATTGGCAGCATATCGGGCTTCCCTTCCTTGGGCTTTCCGGATCCTTGCCTTGGGCACTATCAAAAGGGCAATGGCGGAAGCAGCGAGTAGCACAAAGCCTGCAAAGGCGTCATATCACTCACATCACTGAAAACTACACCACGACCCCACGAGCTCGAAAGCAGCTCAAACAAGAGACCAACTGAACATATGCTTCTTTCCGGCCTTTCTCAAGCTTCACGTTGGCACCCACACACGCTTGTCGAGAGAGCTCCCTGAAGAGTGGCGACAGGATGCCATGCCATCGCGCTGCACGGCGCTGCTTCCCTGGCCTCTCCATCCACGTACACGCTTCGAGCATAGCACCCTCGTGAGTGAAGTACCTGGCGGCGCCGCAACTAATCCGGGGGCCAAGGCGACGGCTACGGCGACAAGCGCACTGAGACATTCGACAGAGACAACTCACAAGCTGTGCTGGCAGAACGTCGTCATCTTTCCGAAGTCCAGGGCTGCCACGGCGACGACAGCCACGAAGACCTGAAAACGAACAACACCACATGTTTGTTGCGAAGCTTGTGAGATTTGCAGATTTCTGAAATTCGACAAAGGCGCATCCAGCGCCACCCATGCATCAAGAGCATAGCCCAACCTGTCACTTGAGATCAGCCCAGATCTGTTCTCAACAGCGACCAAGGAAGCTGAAGCACTTCAGCAGCCCGTTCTGCATGTGGGGCTGCAGTGGCAATATCCAAACCTCAGTGCTGCACGTTTTGAGAAACACCATCTCTCAACCCTGGGATTCTAATCCAGGCAAGGCACCGCCCACAGCACGCCTACAGGGGAGTCTGCATCTAGAGCAAATCCCGAACGAGCTACAAGTAGACATTCACTGCCTGCTAGCAGCATTGGTGCCATCAAGGAGGTGACCAGGAAGGTCACCTGCAACAGCCTCCAAGGCAGTTCAAGCCTGAGGTCAAGACACTGTAGCGAGGTACCGGGCACCCGGCCTGGAGCCCACTTCTGCTGCCGAAACGTCTGGAAACTGCAGTCCAAAGAAGCTTTCAAGGACGAGAGCTCAGATTGCTGCCACCGCTGCTACTGCCGCCACCACCATCACTTGTGACTACTGCCTGCTGATTACTGACTACCACTGATAATAATGCCACTACTCCTACTCCTCTCCTCCTCGACCTCCTCCTCTTCCTCCTCCTCCTCCTCCTCCTCCGCTTCCTCCTCTTCCTCCTCCTCCGGCCCCTCCTACTCCTGCTGCTACTTCGACTCCTGCTCTTGCTCCGGCTCCTGCTCCGGATCCTGCAACTGGGCCGACTACTCCTGGTATTGCCACTTTCGCTGCTACTGCTACTCCTTCCTGCTAATCCGCCGCTACTGCAAGTGCCAGGGGTATCCCGTTGCGCTATCCATTCTCCTCTTTTTCTACTACTGCAGACGAGTTCTGCGAGAGTTCTTCCTAGCTTTAAACCAGAACCTTCTTCTTGGGTAGCCTGCAAGCCGAAGGAGAGCAGGCTGTAGCTCCTGATGTACTCCAGTCGAGCCTGAGCCACTGTATAAATAGGCTTTAGGATTCAGGGCTTTGGCATTGGGTAATTATAGGGTTTAGGGTTCAGGGTTTAGGATTTAGGGACTAGGGCTACGATACTGAGACAACTGCACAAGTGAAGAGCAAAATATTCTTTGCACCTCAGCACAATCATCATAGGAGTCATCATTATCGTAAGAGCAGGCACTGACAAGGACAGAGGCTCAGCATCGCGCTTGGCATCACAACTCGAAGAAGACAATTCAGGAACAGCAAGAAAGACGATAGTTGTAGCGGTCGCGGTGGCGGTGCAGTGGCAGCAACAGCTGGAACAGAAGTAGTACCAGTAGTGGTGGCATCAGCAGCAGCAGAAGCAAAAGCAGCGGCAGCAGCTAATTATCGGGTTTGAAGTGCATCCGTATACTATATACATATATATGTATATGTAAATATGTATGTCTGTGTGCATATGCTTCAACATGCACACATGTGTAGATTGCAGACATCTGATGTGTTCCACTTAACGTGCGATATATGGTATGTGAAGCATAAGATTGTACAGACACACATACAACCACGCTGCCTGCACAGGTACCACTGGGATGCACACAGACACGTTCATGTTTCAGGTATGCTCGGTATGGCAAGTATATCCAACCACGTTCAAGAGTGCGTGTGGCTGTGTATGTGTAGATGTGTATACGTATATAGTGTGCGTATACGTATATACATATACATATATATATATATATATGCTAGCCCCCCCCCCAATTGACCAACTCTGAATACTAAAACTTTCACTGACTCACGAATATGAATACTCATAGTAGTACTACCAGTAAAGCTACTATTGGTATTAATACTGGTAATATATATATATATATATATTCTTATACTAGCAGTAATAGCAAAACTAATTCTAGTGTGAATACGAACGACCCTACGACTACTTACAATCGTAGTCTTATTAGCAATATTAATATCCATAAACAATATGCATACTAATGCCTGTACCAATGCGGGTACATATATTAATACAAGTATTGCTCCTGCGAGTAAAACTATTCTTACTCTTACTATGCATAATATTCATATATTAATACTTCGTACTCGTATTACTTTCTTTAGTATGTATATAAATGTTAGTATTAGTTCTTACTAACATTTATTTCCAGACGGATATTATTCCTACGAATAAACAGTTTCGTAATCATGTCAAAATTAATCTTGACGCTAGTAACAAAAATAAATATTAAAAATACTTACACGGATGCTGGTTTTAATGAACACTGATACTCTCACGAATACTTACACTCATATGAATGTTCATACTTTCATATTACCAGAAATATGAATACCAATGTACATACTGATGCAAATACTATTTTCTTAATACTTATATCAATAACAAATAGTACTGTTAATACTCAAACCAATATACATACAAATGCTGGTATCTACGCAAATACATACATTAATGTAAGTACTACTCCAATGAATACTAATACTCATACTCCTCTTTTGCATAATACAAATGCATTAATATTCATATTCATATTAGTACTAATTCTTACTAACATTTATTTTCAGATTAGAAATATTCCCACGAGTAAACATATATTCATATCCGTATTAATTTTAGCTCTAGTTTTAGTATTAAAAAATACGAATATTGATTTTTCAATACGAATACTCTCACGTAGTGATGTTAATACTAGGAATAATTGTGCTCCTACAAATACTAACAATGATATTCATGTTTCTCGTAATGTTAATACCAATATACATACTGATACAAATATTACTACCCATCCTTTTTGGTAATTTTAGAAGTATTAATCTTCCTACATTCCTACATATATTAATACTCAAATTTTGACTTTTCTATTCTTACTACTTATGACAATGCTAACAGTTTTTTCAATACTGATGTTAACTATAATAACCCCATTCATATTCATATAAATATTAATCATAAATAATTAATACTAGAAAATACATATCTACACATACTACTGTATACGAATATACATCTTACTAAAATGAAATACCACCACGTGCGCTCAACGATGTACTGAAGAATCAGTATTTCCATACACCAATGTACCAATATGCCACTATACTAACTATACCAATATACTAATGTATACGTGGCATATTAATATATAGTATGTACTCGCAAGGGAAAGGAAGCAAATTTGAGTATGCTAAATGCCTGCCGCGTAAATACAGAATATATGTCACAAAACAATAACGAAAACTTCGTAAATTAGAACAAAAGCCAAAGAAACCAAAACCTTTACAGATCACGTACGGCACTAGCCAAAAAAAACAAGAAAACCGTAAAAATCAAGAAAACAAAAAAGCAAAAAGAAAAAACAATCCAGAACTATGTTCCGGACCATAGTGTCCCAGATTTTAGTTTTTTCGGCTTTTGTGTTTTTTGTTTTTTGTGGGTTTTTTGGTGTCCTTGTTTTTTGTGTTTTTGGTGTTCTTGGCTTTTTTGGTTTCTTTGGTCACGACATTCGGGAACATAGGCCTGGAGATTTTTTTGGTCTTTGGTTGAGCACCAATTCGAAATCCAACTTTGTTATGCTTTTTAATTTAGTTTTGTGATATCTACTGCTTGGTGTTGTTAGGAATTTGCTTCCTGCCCCCCCCCCTGCAATCATAATATAATGCAGGTTGGTCCTTAGGGGGAGGGGTTACCATATGTGTATATATATATATATATATGCATATGTATATATATATATGTAGATGTGAGAGAGAGACAGAGACTTTGTGTGTACGTGTGTATAAATGTGTGTATATATATATATATATATATGTATTTATGTATGTAATGTATGATGTGAATGTACTTATCAACAATGTACATGATATCCGTGCCTTTACCTATCCGTCAACATGCATGCAGAGTCCGGTTTGTGCGCATACTGACATGTGTGTATATATAATATGTATACATATATTATATACATATATAGATGTATCCGCGCACACACACACACACACATACACACTTACGGTTGGTCACCTTTCTACCTGACTAGAAACTCACAATGTATGCGGATGCGTTATGAAAATGATGCATATTACACATATGACTGCTTTCTGCGGAGTTTGGAAGCAAGCGGCTTTCGCATTTGCAGCCGTCAGCACGTGCGACGTGGATCCTGCTCGTCGGCATAGGGTATAGGTATATATGCATTTTCAATGGAAGGGGTATACATAATATATGTACAAATATACATCTATAAATATGTATATATACATATATACGTATTGAAAATCTCGTGCACACTCCGGAGCTGTCCAGTGAGCGAGACGGAGAACCTGGGCACGAAGGGACATGACAGACTCGAAGCAAAAGACCCCACATGACGTAAAAGGCTTCACATGCCAGAAATAGCAGCATGACTGCTATGAAGACCCCGAAGAAAGGGGAACCTGGACTCTTCGAAGCTCCCGACATAATGCACAATCTCAGCCGGGCGACGCCGTGATGTAAGCAGACCCTGCAGTGGCCACCTTAACTCATCATCAGGACAAGCCAAACAGCAGCGAGAAGGACGAAATCCCCCAACCGTTGTGGGTAGGCATCAAGGCTACACCAGAGTCATGACACGAATCATAAGAGTCATAATAGAGCTGATCATGGTACTACCTACACCCTAAACCCTAAACCCTCAACCCTGAACCCCAAGCACTGATGGGGTCTTCAAAACCGAGAAGGTTGAGGCTCGGACGGCCACAAGCGGACACAGGATGGTTGGCCAGTGCCCTGAGCTCCGGTTTAGGGTTTAGGGTTTGGGGTTTAGGGTTTAGGGTTTAGGGTTTAGGGTTTAGGGTTTAGGGCTTAGGGTTTAGGGTTTAGGGTTTAGGGTTTAGGGTCTCGTCTGAACCCTACACGCTTCCGCGGACTGAGACTTAAGTATAAACGCCAAGCCAAACAAAATCACAAGACGGTTCCCATCAAATCTACTCCATGCTGGCACTACTGACTTGTGCTGTTTATGACTTGCTGGTTTCCTCCTTGTTATCAGCAATTTGCCGCAGTCCTTATGATCAGTACTATGATTGCTCCCGATAACAGTCCTACTACCATTGAGATTGCATAGCCTGCTGGCTACTGCCATGCGCCATGCTTGCTACTAGCACTGGCACGGTAAAACGTACTTCTTCGATTACTCTTCGTACCGTTCGTATCCTCAATACTAGCACCAGTACCACCGCTCCGGTCACGACTACAGCCCTTTGTAAGTCGAGCGACTCCATTCAGAGTAAGCTTTCAAGGGAGAGCTGGCGCTGTACCTGCGCTGCTCCAGACAAAAAGCTACACGCTGGACATGGCGCTGCCAGCACGTGACACATGACAAGAAGAAGAGCAAAATACATGTCATGACAGCAAAGAACATGGGAAGCTAGGGTCACCTTCCCACGCATCTCCCACTTCGTGCCCATGGCGAAGTCGACAGCGATCTGGACGACAGGTAGTGGTAGTGATCGGCAGCGTACCTGCATCGAAACCCAGGGCCAACATGATGAACATGCCAGCAGGCCGAGGAACCCTAACACGTTGGTCAAGATGGCAGCTCCGAGGAAGAGGAAAAGCCCCCTGTCCTAAGCGGACTGCAAAAGAGCCACTCGCCCTTTCGACTTCACGTCCACTCTGAGGCGCTGTCCAGAGACATACTGAAGTCAGCAGACACCTTGCAGCAACTTAAGCTGAGCAGCTCCAAGCCCGTCAACTTAGTCTGTGAAACTGCAATAACAATAATAGCAATAATAGCAATAATAATAATAATAATATGTTGGCTCAGGCTGGCTCAGGTTCCAACTTGGCGACCTCGCCACCGCAGTTGGCAAAGTGCAGCCCAAATGGAGATGAGCCATGGAAAAGACAGACCTGCGCAACACCAGACAGAGCCCAGGTGACCGAATTGGCAAACGGGATTGCTGCTCTCGGCCCTGGGGTCAGAACCACACTTCCCCAAAGCCGCGAACAGTCGCAGAAAGGAGCCTCGACAAAGAGTTGGACGCGTGGGTCTCTAACGTACTGTAATGTACTAGTTATAATATACTATAAGATACTATTTCGAAGATACCACAACATACTGTTTATGGTCATCTCAGCCCCCAGCCTCGGCTCGACGGACTGAGGCAGCTCCCCGGTAGAAACCAAACGATCCTGAGGGCGCGGGACAGTGCACGATCTCATCGGTGCCTTTATCCAAGGTTGAACCTATGGGTCCCTTAAGGATATATACAGGGTATATAGTAGGTATATTAGGGTCCCAGGGTTAAGGGCCCATACTAGGGGCCCATGGGTTCTACCTTAGACTTTATCAGTGTCTTTATCCGTGCTTCTTCTTAAGGTCCAAAGGGCAGCAGCACGCCGGTCTGGATAAATGGCCAAAGCCCATTAAGGAGGAAGAGGACCACCGCAGTGGCTTTGGCGTCGGCATGCCAGGCATCCCTGGCGGCTCGGAGGAGCGTCAGCGTGGCCATGGTCCCCGACCATTGCCAGTCGCTATGGTGCGGAGCGCCGGCCACCAGGAGCTCCACATTGACTTCAGCGGTCTCTGAGATGTCTGCAAGCACATAGAGGCCACAGCAGAGGAGTGTAAAGACAGGGTGCAGGATCCGGATGCAGCAAGGAACGTTTGGACTCTTGCCTAGGCATGGCATATTCCAAGGGCTGTTCACCTCCGTTGAAGTGATAGCATCACTTCCCGACATGCTGCTGATGCAGCTGCCCGGAACTGAGGTGCTGGGTGTTTGCTCTCCCCGCGTCCTGGAAGAGACACCCAATAAGGCACGAGCGGCTCGGGTTTCCTGTGACTGCTGCCTTCTTCTGACAATCAACACAAGCAAGACAACGACTGCAATCAGGACTAATAACCCAGCTGAAACCCAACCGGCGACTTCCACAAATGGCCACCAGGTGAAATGACCTCTGTTTCTTCTCGAGGCATCCTCCATCGTTGATGCCTCAAGTTGGTCGACTAGTTCTCTCCCGTCGCAGCAACCCTATGGATGCTCTGATTGACGACGAGGGTACAGAGAAACACGGGGGCCATCGCAAGCAGCATGCTGTCTACAGGAACTGCAACACGCCTTCGGCAGGAACTCCTTGAGCCTTGTTGTTGTGGAAGCAAAGAAACTGTATGTAACGTCCTTATCTAACTTACTAACTGTGTCGTGTGAAACTCGGGTGAACTTGAGCCCATGCATTCAATCGGCCCGTCACGCCGGGGAGTCCTGAACCCCTTGCGACCGCAACGACTGGACAAGCAACAACGTGCTCAACAGCAAACGAGCAAGGTTAGCTTGCGGGAGCGGGGGTCGCTGTGATCCTTTGCCAGCCTGCCATGAGGACCGTTCATGCACGCGAACTGAGATGGAAGCGAACCTTCGGCGCAGGCTTGGCCGCAGCCTTGCCCGAAGAAGTACTGGAAGCTTTTTTGACCTGCGATTACAGACAGAGACGCTCTGGATTTACATTGAGGACCCCGAGCCTGGCTGGGACCGACATCCTGACATAGGCAAACGGTCACGGCCACTGCGTAATACACAATGTAGTACACTGCAACCATGTTTGTTGACGACCTCGTCCAAGTCGATGGAACCTGCAACCTGCAATCGTGTGATGCGAAACAAGAGGTCGGCTGAGGTGTCGAAGCACACCGAGACCATGACAGGTGCCCCCAACTTGAATCGCTTTTTGGACGGCGATTCTGCACGAGGTGTGACACGCAGCGATCTCGATGCAACCCGCAACATCTGTATTCTGGTGCCTGGAACCATCCTGTGAAACCCGTGCCTGCTGTGGACCGCTTTGCATTGTCCGACTGCGATCTGACCGACCAGCACTGCATTTCATGTACTGACACAAGCACAACAGGTGCAACGCTTTGTTCTCCCATGTCTGCAATACCGGCCCACCTTGAATCTCGCTTTTTCGGTGCCATGCGCTCTATATGTTTGTTCTCAAGTCGTAAGAATGTTAATGCAATTTCAGGCGGCTGTTCAATTGTTGCAAGAGTCAAACCTGGTAAAGTACCATGCTAGAGGGTCTGCAAGAGTTGAAACGACTATACAGGCAAATGCTGAAAGGTCCACTGCAAGAGTTGAAACGACTGTGCAACCATGGTCTCAATCGAACCGCAAGCCAAGCGCCGAATCGATCCCCTATCGGAAACATAAAAACATCGAGCTTCTGCATCACTTCAGCACGAGCAGTCTGTGGCTCCACTGCTTGTGATCCGCCAACAATGCTGCTGAGTTCAGTGTGTCGGCACTCATTCCCCAACGAGAAATGGGCCTGCACCGGCACACTTCACGAGTTATGGGCCCAGACTTTCGAGGACACGAGCATCTGACGTTAGCGGAGATTCAAACACAGTTCAAACCCAAACACCAAATCGCACAGACCTAATCTGCAAAAGGTGGTGTTACGCACACACGCTATCCCTATTAGGCAGGCACCCAACGCGTGGAGGCAACCCGCGAACCAACAGACGGGGGCGGAACTGGAGGGAGGTGGATGGAAGACTCAGGGCAGTGTGGCCTTTGCCACGGTTTGGGTTCCTGCCCTTGCCCTCACCCCTGCCGTGGGACCCGAGTGAGGCTGATGACCTCGCCAGGAAGATCTCCCAGCATCTCCGGCAAAGGCTAAGGTTCTCCTCACCTCTACCGCTGGGGCTGGGCCCCAGACCTTCGACGAAGGGGGGGCTTAATGAAAAATTCAATGAACGTTTCCGAGCTCCTCTGGAATGCAC